TTTATTAAGTACCCAACAATCAACATCATTCACTTTGCAACTTCAAGTGGGCAAGTCAACCTCAAATCTAGATTTGAAAAAAATACTGGTACTGCAGCACATTTTTAGGGCCCTAGGAAGTTTGGGTAAATGTGCTTTCTCATTAGGCATCATTTCCCAGTGACTGGGATGACATTTTGGCTGAGGCCCACCCTTTTGAGGGGCCATGAACATTCTGGAGGTTAATACCAGGCTTGGAGAACCCAGGCAAGCAAATGCAGCACGGAGCTCTTTCTGAGCCTCGTCACGGCACACACAGAGGCACCGTCAGAGTGGGACTTGCTTTTTCTGTGGGCGTATATTACAGAAACTACAGAAGAATGGGAAATATGCCAGAGAACCCTGCCAGCAAGAGAAAAATTGGAGTAAAGAGAGAAGAAAAGAAACCAATGAAACAATATAAAATAACACAGACGGAGCTGCAGGAATTTGAGGACAAATTAGGAAACTGCTTCTTGTATTAGATTTTCAGCAACTACTGGGAAGACGTAAGGCATCCTAGAAATTCTCTGACCTGGGTAAATGCATAAAGCACTCAGTCAAAATCAGGTGCTGTTATTTTTATAATAAATTTAAATTCAATATCCTTACTAATAATTTACGGCTTAATTAGATTAGAGACAAATTAGGAAATTTCTTGCAAAAATTTCAAGAAATGTAAAGAAAAGAGTAAAATCTAGATTAATCTGTGGTAAATGTATACTATTGTAATTATAAGTAGAAGTAGAAAAAAATCATTCTAATTAGCTCCTTTGAAATAAATATTTAAAATATATAGAGCAATATTTGAATTACAGTTATTTTAAATCTGATTAAAAATACTAGCTGTCATTTTTGTAATAAATAATATCTGAGGAGCCAATGATGAAACATTCAATTATGTTTTAAGGATAAACTGAAGTAACATGGGAAAAACATTCAGGTAAAACAGTGCATGGGAAATAGTATATGGTCAATAAAGTTTTAATTTCTTGTAAATCTGGAACCAAAGGATTTTACAATATTTGTCCAACATTAAGAGTCAAATCAAATCATAGTTTATCGTGGCTCTAAAACCAACTCCAAACATCTGGTTGACTCTTTCAATGACACTTGTAAAATACTGATATTAGACACTGCCTATTATGTAAGTGGTGACATTTGTTTGCTGAATGACCATTAGTCAAGTAGTTTACCTTACTAAAAGAAGCAACACAAAGTAGTAAGTAAAAATCACAACAAAAGCGCAAAGCATGATTCTTATTTCATTTTGGGAAAAAAACAACAAGATACATGCACAGAATAAAAAAGATGAGGGCATAAAAATATTAACAAGGATTATTACTGTATAATGAGACGACAGGTCATTAAAATTTTCTTCTTAGTAGTGGTTTTATGCATTTGGACAAATTTTCTGCTAGTGTTTCCAGGAAATATATTTTTTTAATAATTTAAACAAAAACGGTAAGATGTATCTGTGATGCAGAATTTTTAAAATCTATACATATCCAACCATCAATTTAAAAGCAATCTAACAGACTTTTACTTAAAAATCATTTGAGAAGCTTTCGAAATCCTTTCTTTAGGCCGAGTTCCTGAATTGAAAAACAAAAGACCTATTTATGAACAAAATGATTTCTTCAGACTTTCCAAATTACTTCAGTTTGTCAGCACCTCCCCCCACAGTACCTTAAGCAGTAAATACAACAGGTTTTTATTGTTACACAGACTTCCTAGTTGAGAAATAACCATACAACCCAAACCTCCAAAATGTGGAGGGTTGTGGGGGTTGAAGGAGGGAAGAAGAACAGGGTTTCAGAGGCTTACAGCAACTCGGGATGGGGGATGTAATGTTTCTTATAAGGTGCCACTGATGCACCTTGTAGCCAAACTTTGTTTCATGGAGAACTATGTGGTCAACTGTGCTTTCTGTAATTTAACTACTGAACAGATGAGAGGAGAAACAAGATTTAGAGAAAATAGCACCATGCTGACTAACAATATTGCCCATATTAAGCTCTGTATTCTCTCTGAGTCAGAGTTTGGGTCATATAAAAGTAAAACTAGCTGCAGAGAAGAGAATGGTTTCTCACAGGCTGTCATTTAAATCTCAAATGACCATGTTTCACAGCATGCTCAATACAGTCCAGCATGGAACTGCATTTTAATTTCCTAAAACCACAGGATATAAGTCTGATTTCAAATAGTGTTTGGACTGTGATATTCAGTACTGATAAAACTGTATGGTGTTCACTTGAAAGTTCCAAAGGAGGATCTTCATTTTAAAAATGAGACAACAGGCCCAAAATGGAGTCACTTGTGCTAAGACCCATGTCACCAAACCAAGACTTACTATCGAACTTAATTATTAGTTTTAGCCTCCCCCAGGAATGGAATTTAAACCAGACAGTCTGGAGTTACCTGGTCAGCCCTATGAGGTAATCTGCCTGACAGGCCCCTGCCATCCCCTAAAGAAAGACCTCTGTTGGTGTAACTTCCTTGTCCCGCCCCCTTCTGCCTCTAGCAGTTTTTCATTTGGTACAGCTCTTCGGAGCGCCTTTCTGTCTGCTAGACGGGATGCTGCCCAACTCATGAATCATTGAGTAAAGCCAGGGAGATCTTTAAAATTTACTCAGTTGAGTTTTTTTTAAAAACACTTTAAAGCACTATTTTCAAAGAAATTTATTCCTCTGATTTTTGTAAATGAATTCTAAACAATGAATAAATAATAAGAGCTAAAGCTACGACTGGAAGACACGTTATAGGAAAAGAACATGCTATATGTTCATTGCTCACTGGGTATAGCACATACTTGACAAAATCCAGTCGATACGAGACTTGAAATTTTCTTTGCCATGAAATGCTCATTAGTGCTTACTTTGGAAAATGAATTAAAAATCTATTAACATGAGTGAATCTTTACTTGCATGTCCATTCAGTGCATGGAAGTGATTCAGACGTCTTTTCAACTCGATAAAACAGGCAGAGCCGGAGATTGCTTTAATCTCCAAGTCTTACACAGGAAGAGAAACAACTTTTAAAATATGTCAAGAAAGAAAAAGGGAAAGTGAAACTATGTCCTAAGTTTGGAAGTCAGAAGCCAATTTCAGATCATATTATTATTCAGTTGGAAGGAACTTATAAAGATACGTTTTTATATGTGAACATGGAAGAAACCAGTACGATGTTCCGCAGTTCGCACCATAAGGAGCTGGCGCTGACCCGACCGTGGGAAAGGCTGAAAGGAAAAACATTTTTTGCAAGGAGAGAATAGAAAAGTATATGCTTTCCTCTAAAGTACTACTGCCTTTGGCTTTGAGCTTGACTCCAGAACTAATTGTCAAATTCAATGTTTGTTTTTAAGCAACATATCTGTTTGTTTGATCAATGAAGTGTAACTTGGAATGAAAGGCTGAGATTCTGATTAATAATTTAAGGTGCTATGAAGCCCCAGTTGTTCTATGAAACCGAATTATCTAGCAAACCTGGGGCTAACCTCGGGGTACCCGGCCTGAATCATTTGGGCCCCTATGGCCACTTTTCATCAGACTCTAAGGTATCCTCACGTGTAAGAAGTGCCCACTCTTGACTTCATAACAGCTGAAGATAACAAAATACAATGGTACAGGATCCAATTTTTTATAAGGAAAAGCCTGATTCATGGAAAAAAAAATTGCACATCTTAGAACAGAAGAAATGACTGCATTTCCTTCCTTGCCCCCTATGTCTTCCTATTTGATTTTTCCATTTACTCCCTCCCCCTCCCCTAGCCTTTCCAGTTCTTTCCTCCTTTTCCCCCCAAACTTAGACCGCAGGTGGCTAGTGGAAAGCTGTTTGGATTCCTAAGAAGTGTGCATTGGGCATCTCTTCTGGTGAGCGGTGAGGTCTCTAAGGTTGGCGACGCACACATCGGAACACCCAGACCTTCAGTCTCGGGGAAGACGCACACGGCAAGCTAACACGACCATCACCGGAACGTCGAGAGCACGTGGCCCTCGCCTGATTTACACTGCCGCAGTGGGCAGTGAGGATAAGGACAGCTGTGTGCAGGACTTCTGAAAACTGTGAGTGGTGCTCGAACAACAGGGAGGTGACGAGAATTGCACACTTGCTCAGAGAGTGGGAGAAATAAAGACAAATGCCGATGAAAGCCTGCGGCATCTATGGGACGCAGCTTCCTAATTTGCCTCATCACCAACACAGCAACAATAGGGGGTTATTCTCAGCATGTTCATCTTATTTTAATCCTCTTCACGGCTCAGTATGGTGGGGCCTATTATTATCTTAATTTTGAAGGCCAGGAATCTGAGGCCAGGGAGATTATTAAATCGCCTAACGGCCCACGGTTTACCAGCTGATGATGGAAGTGGAATCTGAATGTAGGAAGTCTGACCCCAGGGCCATGCTTTGCCATCTGTACATACTTCTAGCACACAGTTTCCAAGGGAATAACAAGGGGGAAATTATGGCTGGGCTCTTCTGGGCAGGAGGTGGCTGCAGGGGCAGAAAAGGAGAAGCACCGGAGATGCAAGAAGAACATCAAAAAAGTACTGTCACAAAACCCATCCCAGCCTGTTGGTGTCTCCACCCCTGAAACTATTCCACAACTTTATTCAGTCCAATTGGTCAATATTTCTATCTTACTGGCTAACTAACCTAGTAAACAATTTTTATGCACTGTGACAGCTGTAAAAGTAATGGATAACAGCCTCAGCCGCCAAAGCATGATGTACAAACTATCTAATAAGAGAAGCCTGGTCAGTGAGCAGCACAAAACCATGAGGTCCCTGCATTTATTTGCAAAACTGTGAGTGTGAGTGTTGTGTGCACATGGTCCCTCTATCTTACAAACACACACACATGCATACGCGCAGCCATACTCTACAATGTATAAAAAGGTACCTGACCCTGTTGAGAGCTACGGACACATAAATTCTAAAAACAAAGCCAGCAATTTCTGGCCAGCTCTGCTCTGAACGTACCTGCATCTGGGTCCTGGTTGAAACGGCAATACTTGGAGTTCTCAAGTGAAGGCAGGCACTGCTCGATGGGCACCCATACGTATGTCTCAGGACACAACAAATCAGACGGTCTGTAATGGCCCTAAAGAGACGTGGAGAAAAAGGCATTACTAACACAGTAACTTCCCAGTTCCAAGGCTCTGGAGTTCTAGGAAAGATTTTAATCACAAATTTAAATGAAGCCAACCAGAAAACAGTTCTACTGTAAATACCAAATGACTACTAGCAATTGCTTTCCCTTCTCAAGAATGCACATTTGATTCAAAAGCTCTCTAAAAGAAACACATCCCCATTTGGGGACGCCTGTGTTAATCTGGGAGATTTGAGTTTCTACTTTCTTTTGGAAAAAATATTTAATATATGATTCTTGCTAAGCTGATCGCAAGGAATACCCAGTTTCAAAATCAAGTTGTCTTTTAAATGCTAGTTAACAACAGAGGGAAATTTCTTTTCATATATGAGAGCATTATAATTTATATATACAGGGCCAGCCGAGTGGCTGAGTTGGTTAAGAGTATGCTTAAGAGCACGAGCTCTGAGCAACAGGGTTGCTGGTTCAATTCCCACATTGGCCAGTGAACTACATCTGAGCTGAGCTGCCAACTCAGCTGGTGAGAGCACGTGCTCCTAACAACAGGTTGCCTGTTCAAGATGGTAGGCTACGTCCACCCGCAACGAAGACTGAACTCGGGCACCTTGAGCTGCTCTGCCGCCCAGATGGCTCAGTGGCTAGAGCGTACACTCTTAACAGCAAGGTTGCCGGTTCGACTCCCACATGAAAATAATAATAATAATAATAATAATAATAATAAATTATAAACTTATTTTCCAAATAAAATTTCACTATCCTTAGTCACAATGTTTTCAATTTGTAGACTCAGTTCCAATATATTAAATATTCTAATATATTAAAAATATTCATTCCAATATATTAACAAGCACTGTCTTGTCAACATACTTCCATGAGTAACCTAAACTAATACATGTAAATAAAGAGAAGTTTCAAAAAACACTACAGAAATTTCAGAAAACATCTGTGATAATAACCCTCTGAAGTTTCTTCAAGCACTCTATTTTAGAAAAAATGATTTATATATTTATAAGCCAATGATATACTCAAATCTAAAACAAAGACTAGACAACAGATGCTGAAGAAAAAAAAAATCATTCACCTAAGGATTATTTGGCTGACAACTAACAGAGGATGAAACAAATTATGTGAGTGACATCATTTAGTGAAAATTTTCAGAAATATCAAAGTTAGCTAAAATTCAAAATGTCTTTTCTCTAAATTTTAAAATTCAAAATTCATTATAGATGTTAATATCTAGTACAGCATTTTTCAATTTTTTATACCACACAGTAAGAAAGTTTATATCATAATCTAGTAAACATATATGCAAATGTAAAACCAGACACAAACCTTTTACTACAGAATGCTTACCCATGTTATGTAATCCTTTATTTTCATTCTACTCTATTTATTATTTTTTTTAATGATGCTCTTAAAGCACCAAAATTGCTTTCACAAACAGCAAATGGATTGTAACCTTAAGAGTTTGAAAAACACTAGTGCAAAACCTATTACAAAGAATACTGCTGCTGAAGGGCTTTGCACTGTCATATGGGTTTACGTCAGAAAGGCACTCTAAACCAGCCTGCTATGTACTGGTAACTGTACGAAGCATCACTCAGGTTTAAAACAAGCACCATGTCCTCCCAGCATTCAAAGCATTCAGAAGTCTGTAAGCTAACAGAGAAACTACATAACATGTGCTCAAACAAAAACTAATTCCTGCTTGAAAGGGTTGGGAGAGAGTTCAAGGAGAATGTGGAGTTTTATTGGGGACTTAACAGACTGACTTGATTAAGTCTAGGGCAGGCTGAAAAGGAATGAGAACAATCTAGATGAAGGTTACCGCATAAACAAGGATGCTGAGTTGGGCCCAGCATAACTCTGGGGACAGGAAATAGCAGGGCACTGCAGACATGGAAAGGTAGGTTGAGATCAGATTCTGTGGAGCCTCAAATATCATGGTTTGGACTTTATTCTGCTGAACTGGGAATGGCTGCTGGCTGAGAGAGAAAGCGTGACAGGATGAAGTCCAGAACTCAGGTTTCTGACTTGGAGTTTCCCAGATATTTACTGAATGGCTGATGCCTTACTGCCCTAGAGCAGCAAAGGTCACCTTCAAGGGCAGCTCCTGGTGGTCCACATGACCCTCTATTTGTAAAATTCATACCAGAACTATTTAAATAATTCACTTAAGAAGCATAATGAATCCAGATGTTTCACTGATATCTTAGCAAAAGCAGTATCATTCTCTCCATTAATTCAGAAACTGTTTTACTGGGGGAAAGAGACAGAATTATGTGGAGCTGTCCATATTATTAACAAACCTGAAAAACTATATAGCAGCCTAAATCAGTGGTTCTAAATCTTTTTTTCTTTCCCTCCCTTTTTGGTTATAGACTATTCTGAAAATCTGATGGGGATTAAAAATGCTAAATATAAAACCTAATGATATAAAACTTCTAGGGGGAATAAAAAGGAGTAAATTTTCTTGGAGTATACAAAGATTTCTTAGGATACAAAAAGCATTAACCGTAAAAGAAAAAACAGATGAATTGGATCTCATCAAAATTACATACTGTCTTCAAAAAATTATTAATAATCAAGCCAAACAATGGAAGAAAATATTAACAAAACATGTATTAGACAAGAGCTCTGTATCCAAACCACATAAAGAATTTAACACCTCAATAGTAAGAATAAACACTTTAAAGAAAAAAAAGACAAAAGACATAAACACTTTTCCAAAGATACATGAATGTCTAATAGCATGGAAAGATTACCAGAAATGCAAATTAAAACCATATTAAGATACCACTGAATGCCCACTAAAATGGCTGTAATGAAAAAGATTGAAAAACACATTTTGGCAAGGATTTGGACTATCTAGACCTTGGAAATTGCTAGTTTAAAATGGTTAACCATTTGGGAAAAAGTAAATATTCTTGTGTATGTATCATTTGTGGTTGTGTCTAGAATAAATCCCAAAATGGAACTGTTGGGCATAAGGGTTTTAAGTTTTATAGCACAAAATTATTTTCCATGGAAGTTGTGCTATTTTATCTTTCCATCAGCAATGTTATGTATGCAAGTGCTGATTTCCCCACATCCCTACCAACATAACATACTATCAAAACATTTGATTTTTGTCAATCTGAGAAATGGCAGTTCATTATGGTTTTAATTTGCATTATGTATCTTTATATGTTGAAAGGAATTTGTATTTTTTTTTCTATCAAGTTGGTCCATTGTGTTGTCAGATTTCTGGTCTTTCCTTATTAATTAAAAAACTCTTCATATATTAAGGAAATTAACCCTTAGTTTGTAAAATATGTTGTATTTTCCTAGTTTATCTGTCTTTTGACTCTGTATGCCATGCTCTTTTGCCATGTGAAAATCTGATAAGTGGTATAATTTATCATTTTTAAAAATGGTGTCTAGCTTTTCCAATATAATTAAAAAGGCCACCATCACTCAAAAATTATGAAAACATTTTATGTCTTTTTCTAGTACTTTTATGATTTCATAATTTTACATTTACATTAATGCTCCATCTGGAATTTATTTTGGTATAAGGTAGAAGAAAAGGATCCAACCTAATTTCTTTCAGATGTTTACCAAACGGCTTTGACATTATTTCTGAAACAATCGTCATTTCCCCCACTGATTTAAAATGTCTTTTTGATAACTTACTAAATTTCCACATATATTTATATCTCTTTCTGGACTTTCTATTTATTATGTTATACTCATCTGTCTACTCATATGCCAGTGCCACATAGTTTTAACTATTAAAGCTTTACATTATATTTTAGTGCCTGGTAGATCTAAATCCCCCGCATTGCTCTTTTATTTGCTGAATTTTCTGGCTCTTCTTGCTTAACTATTCTAGCATTCTGTATTTAGTATACACAAATATTACCAATTTGAACAAAGAAACAGTAAAATAAATGGAATGAAGTATCTTCTCTATTGTAACGGCAGAACATAAAAGAAGAGAATCCCAAGAATGTCTAGTAAAAAGAAAATGTATGTATCATCTTAAGTTAAAAAAACAAACAAACACACAAATGACACCATTTTCTAATTCAAGGTGGAACTGAGTGCTCACTGGCTGAGATGCACAGATCAAATAATTAAGTAGTGCCGGGGGTGGGGAGGGAGGAATGATTGATCAGGCATTGACTATGAGTCATTAAGGTTAAAACAGACATATTTCGTGTGGATATACATGAACCCAGTGTCTGGATCAAACAATGATGCTATCAAAAATATTCGGTCAGTGAACATTAACTGAATCCTTACTTTGTGACGGGCACTAGATGCTGGACATAGAAAGATGAACAAACGCATGCCTCTAGATGCTTCCCAATCTACTGGGCGTTTCAGACCTGGATGAAATCTAAGAGTATATACTAAGTGTTCTCATGTACAACTGTCCAAAGTTCCTAAATTTTCACAATGTTCTTTTTTGACAGTTTTTTTTTGTTGGTGTTTTTTTTTAGCTGAGCCATCCTGCTACCTGTTGGCAGCTCAGCGGCTGCTCAGCTCGGGCTGGACTCGAACCGCTGTTGCTCAGAGCTCAAACTCTTGAGCGAGCTCTTAACCAACTGAGCCACTCGGCCGGCCCCACAATGTTCTTTTATGGCAATACTTGCTCATAACAATAGGTCAGACATTTTATTTTTAACTCTTTACTTAGTTTATCTCACTGAAAAACCATAAATGTACACATTTTAACTTCTGCTCATCATTGAAATCAGATTTTTATATTAGGTTAAAACATTATTTTTCTCCTAAGTACAGGCTTATTCAGTGCTTCAGGGATTCTCTCAAACCAAAGAATGCAAAGAGTTTTATGAAATAAACCCCTTTGAAATGTTATGCTTTCTAAACTTAGCTAGTTGAGAGTTAAGTGACCAAAGTGCTTAAAGCTCAATTTAAAGTCACCATCACACAAATGAAAAATGCAAGGTTTGAAAGCCACCTTGCCTTTTCTGCTAGTGTTA